GTTTTTCACGAACGCACTAAACATATCGATTTTAGGTTACACTTCATTAGGGATATAATATCACAAGAAGTAGTAAGACTTGAAAAAATTCACACACAGTATAATCCTTCAGATATGGGCACGAAAGTGCTGCCACTGGTAAAATTTAGAAGTTGCAAAGAGCTTCTAAACATCGGTACAGGTAAATGATTTCAATTTTATCGGTTTTTCTGTTAGAGGTGTCACTAATGGAAAAACGTTTTTCTTTGCAGGTCCTTTGACACCAAGATGGAGGTTGTTAAACATCATGTTGTCAAACGACCTCCCGGGCGATGATGAAAACCAATTTTATCAGTCGACATGAATGACTGAACGATAATTCAACATCGAATAATGGATGAACCGACCAAACGTTGCTTTACCTATTGGATGACTAATACTCTTTGTGGCTTGTTGTTTATTTCCATTGGGACTTAACACTAGTCGAGCTTACTTACCATATTTTGACTTACCTTATGTTGGCCACTTAACTAATATATATATTGGTGGTTTTCTTTTGCTCCTCACCCCCGTCTATATAGAACCCGAGAGCAAAGGAGAATTGCTGCCTTCTTGTGCCTTCTTCTTCGTGATTTGTCTTCCATGCCAATTGCTTGAGCCTTTGTGACTCTTACCTGTGTGGTATCCATCCTAAGTGTGTGGTTGAATCAACAAGCAAAAGAGGAAATAGCAACCATAGGAAGTTGGGCACCGGCGGATTCGGTCATCTTGGTTTTAGTGTTGAATTCGATGTTTAATGGTTAACTGAGCCCGAAAATCACTTTGAGCAGCTTAAGGAAGATCCTAACATGAACTAATCAAGACAATATTACCAATTTATTAAAACATAATCTTAACGAGAAATAACATGAACCGCATAATCTCCAATTTGATGACCTACAGAGCTAGAAAATCAAATTAAAATGACCATACGAATTAACAAATCAATTTAGTTTAAAAAATCAAGCAATTAACAAATCAAGTTAGTTTAGCAAGTTAATTAAATGAAACAATAATTATAGTGACGAATGTTTCAATAAGTTTAATAGACAAGAAATCTTTAAATTTCAACTTTAAAAAGAGAGAGAGACCCATCAACAATCTCAAATATTCTCTCCCTCCCCAAACAAGTCATTCTTAAGTTGTAAAGAAGGATCAAAGAAAATATAGAATTAATGACAAAGAATAGAGAAGAAGATGCTAGGCTTGGAGCCAACGATTTCATATCCCAATGAGGAGGATTAAAAGACATGAAGATAGTTATTAGATTCATTATCCAATCCAAACCCATCTTTGAGAACCCAAAAAGCAATGAAGAGAGAGACCCATCAACAATCTCAAATATTCTCTCCCTCCCCAAACAAGTCATTCTTAAGTTGTAAAGAAGGATCAAAGAAAATATAGAATTAATGACAAAGAATAGAGAAGAAGATGCTAGGCTTGGAGCCAACGATTTCATATCCCAATGAGGAGGATTAAAAGACATGAAGATAGTTATTAGATTCATTATCCAATCCAAACCCATCTTTGAGAACCCAAAAAGCAATGAAAAAATCATGAACAAATTGTAAATAGCGAGAATCCGCCATTTATACAAAACACTTCAACACAAAACATTTACACAGAGAAAAGAAAAATGTTAAGGGCAAAATTGCGAAAATTTGACGAGAAAGAAGAAGAGGCAATTGAGGCAGAAATTGATAGAGGCAATTGAGGCAGAAACTGATCACAGTTTAACAAGCAAAATGCACACCACAAGCAGAGATGGCGACCGGCCAGCGATTCCAACAAGTTAGGTGTAGCGATTGATGAATAGTGAAAAAGGTGCTGTAGGGTGTCCAGTGAGAGGGTGATAAGGAAGTTTGTGATGTAAAGGAAATGGTGATAAAATGAATTGTAAAATGGAGATAAAAAAGAATTTGCTGAAAAAATCATTCAATTGCTTTCATTCACGTGTGTCTATTTAGAGAGTAAAAATGACCTATTTATACAACTTTCCTATAACAGAAATATACAGAATTTACTGCACAATAATTTGCACACTAACAGCCTAACAGAATTGGAATCAAAATCAGCAGCATCACGTGTACTGGCTGCCCTCATTCTGGTGTATTCCAGATCCTTCTTGGCTTAAATAATCCAAAACTTCAATAGCCCTCCTCAAGGTGGTGAGTAGATGTCTTCCACTCCCATCTTGGACAAATGAAAATAAAAACTGTCAGAAGGAAGAGCCTTAGTAAATATGTCAGCAACTTGAGAACCGATCTTAACATGTTTTGTAACAAGACTTCCTTCTTGAATTTTGTCACGCACTAAATGGCAATCTAGCTCAATATGTTTCGTTCTTTCATGGAACACCGGATTGGCAGCTATGTGTAAGGCCGCCTGATTTTCGCACAACAATTCAGCAGGTTGTGAATGAGCAACCTGCAGATCATCAAGCACATATCTAAGCCACTTTAATTCACAACATGCAGCTGCCATTGCCCTGTATTCTGCTTCCGCTGAGGATCTAGAGACAACACTTTGCTTCTTGGATTTCCAAGATATCAATGAAGAACCAATGAAAACGCAGTAGCCCGTGACTGACCTTCGAGAATCAGGGCATGCTCCCCAGTCTGAATCAGCATAAGCTGTAAACTGTAGATTGGATGATGAGGAGAACAACAACCCCTGACCTGGTGACCTTTTAATATATCGAAGGATTTTGTGTGCAGCATTGAGGTGTGGTACCCTGGGAGTTTGCATGTATTGGCTCAGCAAATGTACTGAGTAAGATAAGTCAGGTCTAGTGATTGTTAAATAGAGCAATCTTCCCACAAGTCTTCTATACATAGCAGGGTTAGTTAAAACTTCTCCTTCATCTTTGGACAATTTGATGTTTTGATCAAGTGGGATCTTAGCTGGAGTGAACCCAATATTGCCTGAATCAGATAAAATGTCCAATGCATATTTCCTTTGACAAATTTGGATCCCTTTTACTGATCGAGCAACTTCAATTCCAAGGAAATATTTAAGATTCCCCAAACCTTAATCTTGAATTTGTCATCCAATGAAACCTTGAGGGAGTTAATGACTTCCACATTGCTTCCGGCTATTATAATATCATCCACGTAAATCAGTATGGCTATAAAAGAATCCCCTGTGCTATTTGTGAAGAGGCTGTAGTCAGCCTTTGATTGATGAAATCCTTGCTCAGTGATGAAAATGGACAGCTTAGAGTACCATTGTCGCGACGCTTGCTTTAAACCATACAAACTCTTGTTAAGCTTGCACACCTTTGGAGTTACATTGGGGGAGTATCCAGGAGGCATGTGCATATAGACTTCCTCCTCCAAGTCTCCGTGCAAGAAGGCATTATTTACGTCAAATTGGTGTAGATACCAACCTCTCACTGCTGCCACCGCAAGTAATGTCCTGATTGTCACCAGTTTTGCCACAGGCGAAAAGGTTTCGTGGTAGTCTATTCCTTCCAGTTGGGTATAACCCTTTGCCACGAGCCTTGCCTTATGTCTTTCGATTGTTCCATCAGCATTAAACTTCACCTTGTACACCCATTTACATCCTATAGGTACCTTTCCAGGAGGCAAATCAGTGACAATCCTAGTCTGGTTTGACTCAAGTGCCTTAATTTCAGCCTGCATGGCTTCACACCATTCAGGAAACTGGACAGCCTCTTGATAAGTAGTGGGTTCTGGATGTTCAAGTAAACATATAGATAGTGCTTTGTGTTTGTCAGACAATTTATGATAAGAAAGTGTTACATTTAGAGGGAAAGGTTTACCTGAAGTTATGGCACCCCCTTTCTTGGTGAACTCTTGAGAATGAGTGAGTGAGGAAGCCTGTTGACATATGAAATCATGTAGGTAAATAGGTGCTCTTTTATTTCTGGTAGATCTTCGAAGCATATGAGGACTAATTGATGCATTTGGTGACAATTCGATTTTAGTAAAATTTTGGTGTGTTTCTGGAGAATCTATTTGTTGACTGAGATTTTGTGAGGTTCCAGTTTGTGGTTGATAGCTTAGGTCAATGTTGCTTGGCTGAGCATAAGGAAGATTTTCAGGACTTGGTAGTTTGTAGGTGGGATTTGATGACTCATATCTGGCTTTAGTGGCAGATGCTTTCCAAGGAAAAATATTTTCATAGAATATTACATCTCTTGATATGAACACTTTATTAGTTTCCATGTCCAACATTTTATAGCCTTTGGTCCCAAAGGGATAACCTATGAAAGTGCATTTCCTTGCCCTTGAGTCGAATTTATGCCTATTGTGTGCAAGGGTGCTAGCAAATGCAAGACACCCAAACACCCTCAAGTTTGAATAGTTTGGCCTGGTTTTGAAAAGAAGTTCGAATGATGTTTTGTTCTCAAGGATGGGACTGGGGGTTCTGTTTATGAGGAAAACAGATGTTAATATGCATTCATTCCAATAGATCATAGGCAATCCACTTTGAAATTTCAAGGCCCTGGCTACATTCAATATGTGTTGGTGCTTCTTTTCAACTACAGCATTCTGCTAGGGAGTTTCAACACATGTGGTTTGGTGAATGATACCCTTTTGCAAGTAAAATTGTTTCAGATTAAACTCCCCTCCATTATCAGTCCTGATGGTTTTGATTTTGGAGTTAAATTGCATTTCTATCAATGTGTAAAAGTTTTGTAAAGTTGTGGAAACATCAGATTTCAATTTCAGTAAATAAACCCAAGTGCATCGGCTATGATCATCAACTATGGTAAGAAAATACTTTGATCCATCATAGGCAATATCAGTACAAGGACCTCATAAATCACAATGAAGCAAACCAAAACATTCTTTGGACCTATGTTGGCTAATTGTGAATGGTAATCTATGCATTTTTGCTAGAGGGCAGATGGGACTATATTTTTGTATGTGCTTTGTTTTAGGTCGGAAGTCAGTCAAGTCCATCCTAGAATCTGAAAGGTGGCCCAACCTGAAGTGCCATAGATCGAAATTTTCTTAGCTGTCATCAGCAGAGACTGACAGAACAGCTTTATTGACTAACTTAGGTAAGTTTTGATCAAGCATGGTAGGAGAAACCTCTTTTGGCACCAAGTGATACAGCCCCTTCCTCACTTCACTCAGACCAATCGTCCTCCAAGTTGTAAGGTCCTACACATAACATAAATTGGAAGAAAAGATAAGGCAGCAATGAGATCCTTGAGTGAGTTTTGTTGCAGATATGAGGTTAAATGAAAAAGATGGAACACACAGAACATCATGAAGCAATAAATTTTCTGTGATTTTAACATTTCCTATGTGAGTGGCCAAGGCTATAGCACCATTAGGTAATGTGACAGGTTGGGAAATTTTTTCTTTAATGGTTGTGAGGAAGGATATTGAGCAGACCATATGGTCTGTGGCTCCTGTGTCCACAATCCAAGGCATGGTGGTAAAATCATCAATGTGAGCAGAAGAACATGTGTAAGTGCAAGAGATTTTGGATACATTTGTGTGTTTTAGAGAAAGAGAATTCAAACCCTGAACATGATTGGCAGAAGGTGAATGAGGCTGATTGATTGATGGCTTAATTAGAGCCATTAACTGGGTGTATTCCTCCTGAGTCAAAACCACTTGATTCTTGTCACTGATTCGCTTCTGTGCAGATCCCATAGGAGGCATATTCTGATCTGTAGAGGTGAAATTCACCTGTGGTTTGTTGTAGAACTTATGGCCTGGTGGATAACCATGAATTTTGAAACAATTACTGATAGTATGGCCAGGCATTTTGCAATGTGTGCAAGTTGATTTATCCTTATTGGCCTTGAAACATCTTTCCAACGAGTGCCCTGCCATTTTGCAAAAGGTGCAGTAATATTTCTTTGGTGATCCAGTATTTTTCTTCTCTACCTCTCTCATATCCATTCTTGACACTAGTGCCATTCCTTCAGCAGCAAGAGCATCATTGGAGATTTCCCTTCTCTTTTCTTCTTGCTGAATTAGTGAATATACTTCATTCAATTTTGGGAATGGCTTGATCAGGAGAATCTGAGCCTTAAGACCTTTGTAGGATTCATTAAGTCCCATGAGAAACTTCATTACCCAATCTCGTTCCTGATTACTAACCACTGTTTTTAACCCCCCATAGGTGCAGTTGGGAATAGACTCATAGTTGATCAATTCATCAAGAAGTGTTTTGAGTTTTGAGAAATAAGTGCTTACAGTGTCATGTCCTTGCATGAGTGCTGCAATGCCTTGTTTGATTTCATATATTCTGGGGGCATTTTGTTGAGCAAGACGTTGCTCTATCTCTACCCAAAGCTGGTGTGCTGTCTCCACATAGAGTGTGCTTGCCTTAATGTCCACTGTCATGGTGTTTTGCAGCCAGCTGATAACAATATCGTTACAACGAAGCCAGTGTTCCATCAATGGATTTTCTACATCAGCTGGTGCATAGAGGCTACCATCGATGAACCCAAGCTTGTTTTTGATTCTCAAGGCCCTCTTTATTGACCTTGCCCAGGAATGGTAGTTGTTTGCATCCAGAATTTGTGTCACAAGCAGGGCTCCTGAACTTTCATTTACCCCAATGAAGTATAGGCTGTTAGGAAGAGATGGATCATGATGATTTTTATTTGAGTTTGTGTTTGTGTTTTGAGTTGTTGTTTGATTTTGATCAGCATCAGTGTTGATGCCATTGTCACTGTTTTCAGCCATTAAGGCTCTGATACCATAAAGGAAATGGTGATAAAATTAATTGTAAAATGGAGATCAAAAAGAATTTGCTGAAAAAATCATTCAATTGCTTTCATTCTCGTGTGTCTATTTAGAGAGTAAAAATGACCTATTTATACAACTTTCCTATAACAGAAATATACAGAATTTACTGCACAATAATTTGCACACTAATAGCTTAACAGAATTGGAATCAAAATCAGCAACATCACGTGCACCGGCTGCCCTCATTCTGGTGTATTCCAGATCCTTCTTGGCTTAAATAATCCAAAACTTCAATATGATGTCCGATTAACCCATTACCCGACTTACCAGAAAAGAACCCAACCAAAAAGTAATAATCGGTCTTTTCAGCAAGAAAAGTAGCATTAATTTGGTTTGAAAAGTGTGCCTTTTTGAAATAAGTATGGTGGGTTATGTGTCAAGTTTTTATTGGTCAACACAATTTGAAGTTGTGTGAAAAATTTTGTCCCTACTGTTGATTTAGAAATTGATAATAAGCACATTTTAGTCTAATTTTTTTGTAAAATGAACATTGAACAAATTTTGGACATTTTTGCAAATGATCATGTGAAAGTGGACATTTCTTGTAATTTTCTCTTCAATACAATCTACCAAATTTTATTAGATGGCCAATCTTTTCACCTTTCAGTATATAATCCCAATACCACCAAGTGCCCCGCTCCCTACACTATGTATTGACTAAGATCACTTCCAAATTGGAAGCAAGTTGGAAATGGGATTGCCCACTCACGCGTTCAAAAGTACAAGGATTAATAAATATGATCGAGACAAAATATATAATTCTCAGGCCCTACAGGCTACAAATGATGAAGAAAATAAGTCATTCATTCATAAATCTATATACAAACCTGATATGGTCCATCATTTACTTGATATGGTCCATCTATTTACCTCGACCTCATATTTTTCGATGACTCCCAACTCAGTCTTCAAAAATATATTCGTCGGGTATGATGGAAAACATCCCGAGGATATGGAAAATATCCTCGACTTCTCTCCTAATTGTACCATGAGGTCGAGCAGTGGAGTCCTTGGTATTCAATGTCCTCATGCTTTTTACTTCAACGATACCACATCCTCCTACGAGCAGTGACGTGTCACACTTGATACCCCACAAGACTTCTAGATGCAAGAGGAGTTTACTGTTGTTAGACTTGTACTGATCTCACACTTGTTATGCATGTCAAACATCCACCTCCGATAGGACTCTATGAGATAAAGATTCCCCAATTGTTCAATCCTAATAGGATTCAACCACCTAACACTATAAATACATGGTTTCATCTCATCATTCAGGTACTTTTTATGCAATTTTCAGTCCATAGCCTCACGCACATGTTCTAACTTAAACATCAAAGGGGCGACGAGGACACCCCTAGACACCTTTGTTTCAGGTACTAAAAGATCACGTTCGTGCTCGCCATGAATCGTCCAGCTCGAAATTGTTCAGGTACGATTTTTGATAGCATCAAAACCTATTCAAACTCTGTTAGAAATCATAGATAGTCAATCTGGAAGTGGTGTACAAAATGTAAATGTAAATGTAAATTTATAATAGAAGGCTACCCATTATTGATCTCGAGATACGCTAACTCAACCATAAAAAAATGGTTTCCCATTCAAAAATTTCAAGATTATAAATAACCATAGAAAAGAGCTTGAATTAATTGTACAATATTCTAAGATATTCAAGAAATATATAAACTATCACTAAGGGCCTGTTTGATAGGTGGAATTCAAATTTCATTTTCCATCATTTTGGCATGTTTGATAGCCAAAATTTTCATGGAATTGGTTTTCTATAGAATCCCCCACATGATTTGATTTTCTTGCTTTTTAAGTAATTGATTTTCCTTTGGTTTGACAATTGGGTTATTCATCATCATTTTTTTTTGGGGGGAATAGAAACAAATTCTATCTACGATTGTAACAAATTCTATCCCTTTAATTAACAATTTTTTATGAAAAATAAAGCCAAAGGAATACCAAAAAATACAAAATTTCAACATTTTTGAGGTGAAAAATTATATCAATCAAATATATTTAATTGACAATTTTCAGTAAAACAAATTTTAGATAATTCAATTTTCTAAAATTCGTTTTCTTTTTACTCAAATCAACCCTAAAATTTTTAGAAAGGTAATCATCAAATCAATTAGTGCACCATTGACCGGAAGGAACATGAACCTACATTTAATGCATGTAGTATAAAAATTTTACTTTAAAAATATAATTAAAAGTTAAAAATAAGAGTACTTTAATAAGTAAATTACTTTTCAGACAACAAATTTACTTTAGAGTGCCTATTTAGTTTATTCTCTGCCAATATATCAAGAAATACATCAATAGGATAGTTCACTCAAATCAACCTCCATCCAGTTTTGAACCATTCAAATCACAATTCATTTTACACTCAGCCCCTGTTTGACAATCATTATAATGAGAAATTTGGGTAAAGTGTATTTTGGAATAGTAGTTTTTGGGTTAAAAATGAAGGAAATTTTTTAAATTTATTTGTAATATTATTTTATGGAAGAATGTGTAATTGAAAAGAAGAGATGAAAAAATATATTAAAATTATAAAGGAAATCAAACAAGGGCTGAGTGGATAAAAAATGAACAAGATTGATGAGTAGATCAACTCATTGTCCAAAGTGGTTTGAAATTCAAGATGGGTTGATTTGAGTGGATGTGCATATAGAGACCGTTCAATTTAAAGTATCTTCCCAAGATATTGCATATATTCTACAAAAAAATATTAAATTTTCCACAAAAACTTGGACTCGGTCCAAATAAATCTCCTAGAAGATCAATCTGCAAGAAAGAAAAGAAATATTTACTATTTTCTTTACACTTATTATCGTTACAACATTTTGTTTTAGAACCTTTATCTTGTCAAAACTCAAAAATCTATGAGAAGTATATATTTTATAATTTACTACATTCTTATCAATAACAAAGATAGTTGAATTTATTTTTAAGAATTTTTGTCGCCCAATTCCAATAAAAATTATATTATTCTACCACTTTCCTTTTTATATTATTCAAAATTGTAGTTCAATAAAGTCTACATTTACGTGTGAATCCAGATTAAACCTTTTTACATATTGACTCAAACAAATTGACTGCATTTTTCCAGAAATTTCTAAAACTGTTCTTTGTCACTTTCCTTCCAAATTATCTCTTTCAATGCCATGATTCACATTATTGGTGTATCCTTTCAATTTTTAATTCAATAATTTGTACGAAAACGGAAAATCTCATTAGGAAATATCACTCAATGGTGCCATGTATTTGGAACTTTTATAACAAATATACAAATTCACATATAATTAATTATTGAGATTGAAAGAGTGAAAACCGTGTATAAATGAACTTTGCTATTTGTACACTGATTTTTGACACATTGTTGACACTTACATTATTGTCAAATGTTAATTGGATGAAAAAACTATTTAAAATTTAAATTGTCCATTAAAATAATGCCATGTGACAATGTATAAATTAAAGTGTATATTATAATGTACATGTAGCAAGGTTCTATCAAAATTTTAACTATTATTTTCGATGTTGGAAGAAACTTATACATTGTTTTGTACTCAACAAATTTTAATTATAAAAACATGAAATCTACCAAATTTTATTAGATGGTTAATCTTTTCACCTTTCAGTATGAACCCCAACACCACCAAGTGCTCCCTATACCATGTATGGACTAAGATCACTCCCAAATTGGCTGCAACTTGGAAATGGAATTGTCCACTCATATGTTCAAAAGTATAAATTAATATATATGATAGAGACAAAATATATAATTATCATGATTCACATTATTGGTGTACCTCATTTGTTATAAATGTGTATACAAACTTTATGCAAATGAGGTTAAAAATAGTAGATAGTCAATCTAGAAGCCTGTTTGGGAATAATTTTTTGGCCCAAAAAATTGATTTTTTTATCATTATTTCACTATTCCAGCCGTCATATTTGACTTCTTCTCTCACAGGTGAACCCCACTTTTCTCCTAACGGTCAAAATATCAATTCTCAAAATCACTCACAAACACGCTCTAGAAGTTGTTTATAGAATTAAATATAAATTTATAATAGAAGACTGCCCTTTATTGATCTCGAGCAACACTAATTTTACCGTAAAAGAGCATGAAATAATTGTACAATATTCTATAATATTCAAGAAATATATAACACATCACTAAAAATTTTCAAGAAGTAATAATCAAATCAATTAGTGCAACATTGACCGAAAGGAACAAGACACCTTTCCTTTTGTGCATGAAGTATAAATAGTTTACTTTAAAAATATAAGTATAAGTTAAAAAATAAGTGTATTTTAAGACAAGTAAATTACTTTTAGAACTGAAAGAATTACTTTGAATATTTATTTTGTATTTTATTCTCTCCCAAAATATTGGGAAATACCTCAATTGAACAATGTCAAATCAACACAATTTGAGTTGTGAATTTTTCAAATCACGATACGTTAGTCATTGAGTGGATAAGAGATAAACGTAATAGATGGGTGGACCAACTCATTCCCAGTGCATCACAATTTAAGTGGTTCAAAATCGGATATGTGTTAATTTAAATGAATCAACTTTTATTAAAATCTATTAAAATTTTGAATTTTTACCAAATCAAACAACAATTTAATATTATTTAGATTTGGCCCTATCAAAAAGCAAACAACATTTTTTCATGTAAAGATTTTTCTGAACCAGTCTTAGGAAGACATCATCTTTAACATAATTAGTTGTTCCAATGGTCACTGAACTTAAGTTCATGTTTTTTATTAGTCACTGAAATTTAAAATATCCAATTTTGATCGCTGAACTTAGGTACATGTTTTCGACTGCTCATCGAAATTTAAAATGTTGAGTTTTGACTGCTGAACTTTAAAAAATGTCGTATGTTACTCACTAATAAAAATGTTGAATTTTA